GATTTTAATGCTTCTGCAATCATATTGGCTTTTTACTGGAGAGCTAATCTTTTTATACTCTCTTTTTTCACTCCTTTATTCATTTCCTTCATACCCTTACTGAGCTTAGTTGGTACCTTCTTTCACATATCATGTTTTGAAGGATTTGGCTTTCCCCTCTTGTATTTGATGGGCAATAGTTAGGCTTTCATGTATGCCAGAATTGGGTAAATTTTTTTGTTTCACATGTGCAACTGAATCATTCCCATTTGTGTCAACATGTATGTTAACTGCCTCTTGTGATCTCTCTGTAAGGCTGTCAGAATTATTCACAGTTTGCAGTCAAGCATTGAGAAAGCAGAACAATTTCCTCCTCTTTAAGAATCCAATGGAAGTAAAATTAAACAGATTTAATTTAAGCAAGAAACTTCCTTAGAGACTCAAGGCAATGATTGGATAATAAAGAAATAAACTTAGAGCCCTAGGAGGTGAGACTTGGAGAAAACTCCAGAGATCATCCAGTCAGCCCTCTGCCCCACACTGATCAACTAAACTGCTGTCATCCCCGACAGATGTTTCCCTAATCTGTGCTTAAAAGCCTGTGACAATGGACATCTCTCTATACAATCTAATGCAGTGCCTCACTAGCAAGAGGTGTCTTCAGACACCTACTTGCAATTTTTTTTATTTTTTTTTAAGCCTTTTACTTCCTTCCCTCTACTTTGGGACTGGAAAAATGGGGCTATCCCTGGCCTCTTGGCAACACTTGGCCACTTCCATCTCTCAAGTTTTCTTTTCTCTAGACTGAATCACAGAACCCCCTTGCTATCCTGTCAGCTCGCTCTTGGAAAAGCATCACCTGAATTAGTGTAATTTGACTGAGGTCTGAAATCCAGCACGTTACGCATCTGTTTATACATCCCAGTGTCTCTGTCAGAGCAGAACAACCAGAACAACATTGCTGACTGTGCTGGTTTAAAGGTAAACCAGCAGGGGAAATGAACTCAACTCAAAAGAGAGATTATAAGTCAGAATAACAATTTACTAAAATAATACAATAAGTACAGTTATACAGACAAACAATTGGTTTTAACCCACAAAACCCAAATATATAACCCAGCACCCTGGGGCATGAACAGAGTGGTGTTCATTGGGCCCCCTGAGTCCAAAGGAAAAGTGAGGGGAAAACCTGTTGGTGAGAGTGCTGTTGCAGCCTGGTCAAGAGTGGTGATTGCAGTCTGGTCAAAAGTGGTGGTTGCAGTCCAGTTGAGGGTAGTGGTCTCAGTCTGGTTGAGAGCGGTGAGCTGCAGTCTTCCTCTGGATCCCACGAGTGGTAAAAAGGTTCCAAAACTCCAAGTTTATATATTCTCCAGTTCAGGTAGGAATGCTCAGTCCTTCCCTCGGAGCGGGGAATTCCATAAAAGGGTATGAGGATGCTCAGTCCTTCCCTCAGAGCGGGGAATTCCATAAAAGGGTATGAGGATGCTCAGTCCTTCCCTCAGAGCGGGGAATTCCATAAAAGGGTATGAGGACAGGAACATCTTCCTATCTCGCAGGCCTCTACTGCTACCAATTTCTGGGAAATGGCATGGAAGGCTATAGAATACACAGTTTTGGGTTACACCCATACCATGATAAACTGGTCTCAGCTGTCCTAACTAGGACACTGACTCACAGCAAATTTATGACCCATTCTCATCTCCAGTCTCTTCCAGCTTAATACCCTATAATTATTTCTTTATGAATACTGTAAATCAAATCTTCAAAGTGTCTTGAACTGAAGAAGGCAAACAGCCACTACCCTCAAATTTCACTGTCAAAAACATCCCAGTTTGTAAACAATAGAAGTAAATTCTGAGACAATTTCTTTTGCTCAGAGCTCTCCCTTAAAACAAAACCAAACTCCCCAAAAACCCCACAGCACATAATCACCAAAACTCAGACACAGACAGTTTTCGGCATCCACACAGACACAGTTTGCAGGCAAAAAAAAAACCAAAACAACAAGCAAACAAACCCAAAAAACAGAGGAGAGGGTATATCATTAGCAGAGCACTCTATACAGACACAAGCCTTGCTTTCAGCTTGGATCCAACCAACACTACAACCTCTCATACACACAAACTGTCTTGCTCCCATTCCAGGACAATTTCTGAGACCAGAAAGTCTCTATTGTTGTAACCATTCTGGGTCAGAGCAAAGGTCCATCTGTTCCACTGCTTGTATCCAACAGTAGACCCAACTCCATCCTCAGGGAAAGAGTACAAGAACAAGGTAAACAAAGTAATTCTCCCTAGCCTGTGATCAATTAGCCTGACAACTGTAAGCTGCAAATAGCAGAAACTATGAAAAGAAAAGAATTGGTGGAACACCCATACATATAATGTCACCAAATAAAAAAATTAACTCTATAAGGTTTGTGCAGGAGTCAGTGCTGTCCCATTCTACAGTGTACACCTGTACTCATGCTGGGACTCCAAAGAGTTCATCTGTTCCTCCTGCACAGCCGTGCCACCCCCTGAGGGCTTCCGTGCCACCTGACCATCCCCTCACCGAACAATTCCCTGGCAGACTTCCTGTTCATGATGTGTTTGAACAGATAACAGACATTTTAGCTATTATGTTTTTTGCCAATTGTCCCTCACATTCCTTCAGCCAGCCTTATCATGTTTGTACATGCCAGAGTTTATCATCTTTTCAGTTTTCTTCATCTGGACAGCACTTCAGCTTTCTGAAGGATGCTTTCTTGCTCCTGCAATCTCACTAATCCTGCCAATGCTGGCTTCTTCTCACCCTTTCTCAGGTTTCTCTTGATACACAGTTATTTTCTCTGTACTTCCCATGTGATTTACGGAAGCAACATCCATACTCCCTGCAAAGAGTTAGGTGTTCCATCTGTCTTTCTTTCAACAAGTCTGCTGATCTTCATCTAGTTTTCCTTTTTCAAGTTGAGCAGAGCAATGGTAGAGAACTCTGGCTTGTCTTACTCCTGCCAAATCTAAGCACATTAAGATCCCCCTTTCAGGGAAGCTCTTCAGCTGTTAGTCCCTACATCGTATCCCATAAACCACGGAGGAGTCAAGTCAAGCGCTGACCTCGTGGGCTCCTGAACAAGCTGCTCCACAAATTAGCCAGAGACATCTAAAAACATACTCTGCCAAGTCTGGATGCAATATTTGCCTCTTCTAGACCAAATAAAAGTCATCCATGAGTACTTACTTCCTCCCTCTACTCAGGCTGTTGTGCTGCCACCATGGTCCACCAGTGAGGGAGGCTGAGTCAATACTATATATCTTCTTCCTATTTGAGTTTGGGACTTTCACTGAAGTCTGGATTGTTCATTGATTAAACTTCTTTTGTAAGCAAGTCAGCTCCAAAGTGTCTTTAATATGCAGAACTACTAGCTATCAGCAAAGCTCACTGCATCCTTCCAGAGCACAGTATCATAGGAACATCCCACTGATCATCATCTTTCCAAGTTTGTGACATCTGCCCTGTTAGGATCTCCATGACCAGTCAGATATACCAGTTCCCCCAGGTCATTTCTTTGACATTAAGCACTCCCACAGAGGAATATCTTGTTTAAACAATCTCTTGAATCCGTCTGTTCCCAGTTTCCTTTTCTACTAGATTTGACCTTAACACCAGCGGAAGGGCTGTGAACCAGCAGCACTCAAGGCATGATATGGCCGGGTGGCTGTTGGCAGGGGATTATCAGTAGTAGGTCCTTGACTTGAATTAATTTTCCTCTGAGCGTGAGGAGTTTGATTTTTTTTGCTTCAACAAGGCACGCTGCACAGCCCATTTATTTACACAGGCATTTCCCCAGCGAGTGATTCATATTGTGGAATGGACTTTTGTTTTCCTGGGTAGGGTTATTTTAAAGTAGTCTTCTCCCCCATTATCCCCCCCGTCCCCAAGGATATCAGGTGGCCAGCACCAGCACTTCATAAAGGAAGAGGTTTGGCTTTGCAGTGAGGAAAACTTAGATCTTAGCAATTGAGGAAAAATACCTTCTTAGAAAGGTCATAACTCTTAGAAGAATATCTTCTTGTGTTTAAAGTTAAAAAAAGGACTTTTTAAAATTAAATCAGCTAGGAAGTTGGGACCTTTGATAGTATGTTACATGGACTTGATTTGCATTTTTCAGTGGTGTATCTCAATTTAAGCATGTTGGCAGTAAATTAACACAAAACTAGAGCAACACAGTAACAGTTTTGATCAAGAAGAAATTTCTCTTTCGTTGCCCAAGTGTAAATTCAAATAAAATTTATAATCTCTATAACAAACATCAAAGCAGTTTTAAAACATACTCTGTACTTTATACACTGTTCCCACAGAGGATACTAAAAGTCAGTCTGGAGGTAACTGACCTAGCAGAAAACTTCGTGTGGTTTTTGTATATGTCTCTACTGGCCAATTCAGTAATATTAGTACTAGCCCAGATTTCATCCTGATTTCTGGAGTTCTGCACTCCTTAGTCCTGAAGCGGGGTGTAGATGATAAAATAGAGTGGCTTAACTAGCTTTTCTGGCTTCTATTACACAAGGGATTCCAGTATTGAGCTAAATACACAGTTTCTGCTTTCCAGTATTGCAGTGTTAAACAAACGATTTTAAAAGCTCCCAAGTATGAATTATATCTTTCACAGGGAGCAGAAAGAGGGCTTTTAGTTTGCACTCTCAGTAGTGCAGTGGAGCTTTCAGCAAAAATGATTCAAATTAATAACGTGTCTTACATTTTGCCTCTTTGTTAGAACATCTACGAGGCAAGAGCAGCAAGTGGGGCTGCAGAGGGATGGTAACTGTGAGAGGGAAACCTCCCTCTGCTGGGTCCCCGAACCGATGATAGAGAGGACAGACGCAACCCTCCCCCACCCCTGCCTTGGGGCGGCCAGGGCTGTTTCGAGCCTGCAAACCACGGCAGCATGGAAGAGTGCCTTTTTTTTTTTTTTCCCTTTAAAAAGTTTTCAGGAAGTCTGGAGGAGGGGCGATGCTGTTTCTTTTTTGTTATAATGGGCCCCTTTGTGGAGATGGAAGAGAAGAGATCTATGTGCCTGCGGGGCGCGGGCTTCCCGGTGACTCCCAAGGTAACTTCCCAGGGCTCCTAAAGGCGCCGGGCCCCCGCAGTGCGGGGCGAAGGGAGGGGGCTGCTCCGGGATGGAGCTGATGGTGCTGCTCAGTGCCCTGGTGACTCGCCTGCTCTTCGTGCTGCACTCTCTCATCGGGGTCTGGAGAGTGACTGCCGTGAAGAAAGAACCCAAGTACTGGCTGCTGGCACTGCTCAATCTTCTCCTGTGCCTGGAGACAGGGCTCACCCTCAAGTTTAAGCAAGGCAGAGGCTACAAATGGTGAGCATATCCCGGCGGAGCCCCTTTTGCTTCTTTGCATGTACTTTGCTGGAGATGGGACGCTGCCCCCGAGAGCAGGGGCTTCCCCGGCCCCGGCGTTCAGGGGTCGCGTTTGCTCCCCGGCTGCTCCTGGGCAGCGGGGATGGAAAACTGGTAGAGTTCGGCCAGTCCATTGCCAAACAGAGGGCTTTCAGAAGGGGCAGTTTTGCAGCAGACTACTCGGGAACCACTCTGTATAATTGTGCGTGTATCCATACTAACAGTGAAAAGTGTGGGAATGTAGCTGCAGGCAAGAGGTGGATGCTGTGAAGCTGTGGGCTGGGGACGCTGGGGGCACCTCCTGAGCCACTGCCTGTCGGGGCTACACGCTGCAGAGGGATGCTGGGGCACCCACAGAGATTCCCTGCATCTCATACTCTGTCCTGTCATGCCCTGGTTTGCATCTCCTTCCCTAAGGACTGTATTCCCATTCCCCCCTCCTTCCAAGAGTGCTAACACCATGCTAGTGCATGAACCTAAACTCAGTGACAAATAAAAGATGAGCGGCAACCACTCTTCTGATACAGCAACAGTGGCTTAAATATTTGGATTTGAGAGGCTCTTCCAGAGGGGAACTTTCATGCCTGAAATGCTGCCCTAGAAATGAACAAAAAAGTTAGTCATTGCAGAGCTTGCCCAAGCATATGGGTTTTTACGTGCATCTAAAGAATTGCTGCTGTCATCTACAGCTCATCAGTGCTCAGGCAGCCAAAACAAGTGCCCTGTGAAAAGGAAGCGGTCATGTAAATAATTGTCAAGATTTCACTAGGACCTTTTATTGTTAAAAAACTCAAACTGCAGGCAGGCCCTGAGACAAATCCAGAGCCCCAGAGTATTTCCATGTTCTTAAATTCCTGCCCGTTGCAACCTGTGAAACTCATCATAACAGAAGCAGTGTTGTGTGACAATTCACAAAAGTGCTCCATGCCCTAAATTTGAATGTAGTAAAAGCAGCGATAATGTCTGGGACACTGGAAAATTTAACAACAGCACAGCCCTAGATGCAGTTATGAGACAGGCAGATTGAGCAGACCCAATTCACTTGGGAAAAGAGGCAGCAACAGAGTCTTCATGAAGGAACACTTGCTATGGCAGCTTTTGGAAAATCCAAAGAAAAAAAGATTCTGAAAGTAGATCCATGTTAGATTAATACATGTGCTAAAAGACTGGGCTACGTTTAGTTAGAAGGAAATTTTGAAAGTGGATGTGGTCCAGCGCCTAAAACAGCACACTAAAGACATTTATAGGTAAGAACTGTAGACAAATGGTCAATATCTATTTGTATCAGGGTAATTTTCTACTCCAGTGGAAAACACATTTAGAACAGGAATTACCAGAAGCATTTATAGAAACACCTCTACAGACAGTCACCAATCCAAGCAAGGGGCAGACTGTGCTGCAAGGCTCCTGCCTCCAAGAGCCTCATATTGTCTCTGTTCATTACTGACAGAGAACTGTTCCTTATTATTTTATTAGCATAAAACATTAAATGGCACATGTGGAGAAAAAGTATTCTTGTGAGCCTGGCCATGTAACATTTCCTCTAGATTGCCCCTTCTGACAGAAAGGCAGGGTTAAAGCCCCTGAAGTCTCCTGGCCTGATCTGGTATCATTAGCTCAGTACTGCTAACCTGCCAGCTGGACAGATTTTTCATGTGCTCAAGTCCTACAGGAAACACTGTAAAATATGTTAGTTCTTCCATTCAAATGAGAGGTGTGTTCTCTCCCAAAATAACCATGCTAAAAACCCACAGAATCATAACTTTTTTTATTTTTTTTTTAAGAGCTAACAACAAAAAAACCCCACTGTCAAAACAAACAACACTTCCAACCTTGAAAAAGAAAACAAAAACACTATGAAAACCTAAACCCAGACTATTTTACAGGGGATTGTTTGAAACATTTTAGAGCAGCTCAGCAACCCAGTCATTTCCCTGAGCAGCAGGGTTTTTTTCTTTTCTCAGTATCTAATCTCCCCACTGGAAAAGTCATGATTATCAAAATAAAGGTACACTCAGTATAGGAACAAACAATAAATGCAACAGCATTTGACCGAAGTGCTGCTGTAGTTGCATACTTATAAGCAATCAGACTCACTGCAGAATGTGCCAGTGGCAGGATAGAAGAAACCAAGCAAATGTCCTGAGTTTGACTACACTGCCCTGTCCTGGGCCATACATATACGTGATACAAAGGCAGCTGAGCATCTCAGCGGTGTTGCAGCAATGCTCACTCATTGGAGAGCAGAGTCAGATGGAACATTAGTGGCATCACACCTCATTCCTACTCCAAAAGGATAGGAATTGCCAAAAAAACCCCACCCCAAACAAATGTCATCTGTTTTATAAGAGAACATCAACTCTCACAAGAATCAGTACTTGCAGAGGGAGTCATAAAACCTCTCCATGACTTCTGCATAAACCCAGCTAAAGAAGCTGAAGATAATAAAGTTTCATTATCCTAAGTGATACAGAAGACTGGCAAGGAAAGAAGAACTAGAGACAGAAATCCTGAAGAATTATACAACTGCCAGCACAAATGGGGAAACAAGGCCAAGACCCATTTTCATAGACCCATTTTCAGTGCACAGCCTGCACTGAAAGACTTGCTACTGAAGAAATACTTGTTATAGGCAAACTGATGCTATTTCTACATTTCCTGTGTCAATGCACAGGATTCTGACCCACAACCTTTATCCCAGCATCACTCAGTAAAATGACTCAATGCATTAATTCACTCTTCATGAAATCAGAAAGAGCATGTTAGCTAGAGGCTTTTTAAGTACAGAGAGTGCTGTGCTGGAAATCCAAACAGCAAATTGCCTTTGGTTAGTTCTTAAAAAGAGATTTTAAATAAACTTCCATATATGATCCTAGATGCATGTACAAATAAACCTGTGATTTATAGTACTGACACAGCAAGTAATCCAGCAAAAATAGCAATTCTTATTTGCAGTTACCCTATTTCTTAATATTTCATATGGTAGAGGCACAAGATAACTTTTCAGTGCAGATAATGTTTGGATGCATGGTATTTATGATGTGTTATAATACCAAAATATCTTTTCTTTTCCTTCACAGGTTTTCACCAGCAATATTTTTATATTTGATTTGCACAGTACCATCACTATGGCTGCTAGAAATTCATCATGGGACTCAGGTATTTATTATGAGACAAGATGAACTAGTTTGAAATCGACGCATTATTTGATGGGTTGGATTTGGGCATACAGACAGAAGTCTGCCAAGTCTTGTTCCAGTTCTCTATTTCATATTGGTGGGTCTCCCAAGCCAGCTATACTATGACTACTGTGCACTTTCTAATTGTCAGATAATGAGCCTCATTCCTAGCTAAAAATGAGACCATTTATTTGTATTTATCTGGGGAACTGAGGACTAGAAGTTTGAAAAACTCAGCCTTTCACCCCCAGGTTACCAGCATGAATCTTGTTCAATATGATGAAAGAATTTCATTGCTTTGGAGGTCTTTGTAAAATAAAGTATGAGTTTCACAGCACTTAAAAGCAGATAACACAACTCAAGTAAAAACTGAGACAGGTGTCAGTGAAAGGGGTCTTATACTCAGGTTACCTCATATTTGCTGCAACCTAGGACAACACTCACTGGTTGTTACCACGGCCAGTAATTTGTCTGTCAGTGTTTATATCCTTTCTTTCTTTGTGCTGCACAGTAATCTAGGAGGGGGATGTCTGGATTCCAATTCAGGACTAAAACACACAGTAACACTTTTAAAGGCAATTGTTCTGGGGTCATTTAGGCATTTAGGGCCAGAACAGTCACTTAGCCCAGCAGTTCCCATTGAGTGAACCATCTCCTCACGCAGGCTGCTTTCAAGTCCCTATAGCACTTCCATGTAGTGAAAAGGAGATTTTGTCTATCCCAGCATTTGCACATTTGCAAGGCCTTATATCCACAGCAGTAAAGATTCTGATTGAAACAATAAAAAAAAAGTAACAGAAGAAAATACATAAATTAGACTAAGAAGACCTAGTGCCTCATTTTCTCCTTTGAAACATTGTTAGAGCCCACAGAAACATAATCAAATATTCAAAATTGTGTTTACACTGAAAATGCCTGAGGCTTTTTCTAAATACAGCAGCAGGAATTTATTGTCTTCTTGTTTTCCCAAATCTCCTTAAACAGTCACAGACAGGTAATGTGGATATTGAGAACATTTGTCATAGTTAAACCTGGTCCAAGAAACAGGCTAATTCTGTAGTCAAAGGCAGCAGTTTATTTCCCAAAATGATGTTAGAACATGGCATACTTTGTTCTTATTGATATACTGCTACTGTGAATTAAAGGGGAAGTATATCAAGTTAACAGCTTAGTTTATACCTGGAGAGATAGGATAGAGAGTTCTGGAAACACACAATCTAACAGATTCAAAAACAATACCTCCAGAAGGCGAACAGCCCTCCTGTCAATTAACCTCAAACACAGCACCCTGATTAGGACTACTCTCAATACTGAAGTATTCCTGGGACTTTCCTTATTTAAATACTAACAGAATGTGTAATTATGCTAGATCAACACTTTTAATTTATTCACCACGAAAACAGTTTGTGGTCTTTAAGGCAGTAGAACTTTGATCTTGTGTTGAATCTTTACCAGGAAAGATCAGCTGCTTGTGTTGGTGTTGTTATTTAAAGCAGGTGTTAATAGGCAGCCCCCCTCCCTAAGACAGAGGCAATTCTGCCTCTCTGTGTACTGCAGAACTGGACATAAGTAATACCATTCATATATCAACAGTGAAATACTGACTGCATAGAAACTACTGCTTTGTGGTAACATATTCGGGAATGAAATACATGTTTGGGAGAGATGATAAAGTAAATTGAACTGTACTGAGAGAAGACATTGCTGTCTGCAAAATAGAGTGTCAAGAAAATTAAAACCATTTAATCCATTAAAATCCGCAAACATTCTTTCTTAATAATGTACAATTTCTTTCAGAGAAAGAAATACCTCTGTTACCTTTTCAAATGCCAGGTGTATCACTGCCACAGAAAGCAATAACCGACCACCTTTTGCAGGGCTTACCCGACTACCAGTGCTGGAGTCAGTGTAGGCTTCCGGTCAGTAGTAAGGCAGATACTTGTAAACCTTGTAATAATTTTTAACCACCTTAAATTGAATATTTTGAGGAAACAGTGAATATTACTGTCCATTCCCTCATTCTGAGGTGGGATTCTCTTACCAGCTAAAATTATAGCATAATGATCTCCTCGAAGTGATCTTACATCTTTCACTATTTCTTCCCTCCCATACCCATTATATTCCTCAATTTGGAAAATAGCTTAAGCAATCATTTCTCCCTGTTTTACATTTCAGCTCTCCTGTATGAGCAAAATGAAGCAGTCAGGAGTGCTTTGAATTTCTGACATCACACGTGTTGCCATAGTGATGGCCACACTGTTTGCAGCAAATCACAGACAGCAAGCAGGGTACCTGTTGCTTGGCAGAGGGCCTGCTCCAGGGAAGGGCTAGGCTCTTCCAAAACATCCTCAGCCTGCACAGCCTCCATGCACATTAACAGGTTAAATGTCATGGTTGAGTACCCTCGAGGGCCAATTTTACCATCCCAATGCTGGACCCAGTGTGAAGAGTTTTAGCTAACCTCCGCTTTATTTGGGACTAATGGATTGTGAATAACATGCAAACAGAAATTGCCTGAATTAGTTTGGTGTTCCAGATGTCCCCAATGCACTGGCAGTGAGCTCTCTGCGGGCCATACACTGAGATGTCGCCATGTCATGCAACAGCATTTCTGTTTTGATTAGATGTTTTGTAAATCAGAGGTGTGTAAGCTTCATCTCAGAAGAAAGAGAAAGTAAACAGAGCTAGAATTTATACAAAATGGGTATAATTTCCTCCTGTTCTATCTTTGCACAGGAAAAAAAAAAAGGCCTTTTTATTTAGCTAGATACAGTCTCAATACCTAGGAGTGACTGGACTCTAGTATTAAAAAGGTAAACCATGTTTATCAAATGCCTGTGAAAAACAGTATTGAGTTTTTCCTTGTCACGTTCCCATTAAGTCACTGCACATCCATAACTTGCTAGGTAAATATGCCTGGCATCACCAGTCCTATTTACATGCATATACATGTTGAAAATAAAGGCTCTTCTCCAAACTTTCAAGTGAATCACTTCACAATCACTACTTAATAAATATTCAGAGAGGAACAAACTGAAACAAGACATGAACATACTTAAATGAAAAAAACAGGAGCCTACTTAAACAACTGGCTTTTGCAGATGCAATTTTCCATTTCCTGCCTGCAAACAGTTGAGAAGAGCTATGGACTGGCCCTGGGAGTGCCATTCAGTCCAAGTTCATGGAGCCTTGCACTGAAATGGAAACCCACTTCTCAGCTGGAAATACTCACAAAAGTGACAGACACCAATAACACAAATTAATTTTCTTAGAGATATTTCCTGCCCCTTTGTGCCACTAGAATAAGATAAAAAGAGGTTCCTTGCAAGCCCCCTGTAAGCCATGGCATGCTTTCCTCCACGTCCTCCCAGAAGTGCGAGCTGCTGACCCCTGCAGCTCCTCTGTCGGTATGGAGGGCATGTGGATCAGCCCTGAGATGATCCATAATTGGATGTGCTTGTTGGTGGCCCAGGGAGAGCCACACCACATGCTCAGAGCAGCACTCACACACCTTGCCCACACACTGTAACTGCTGCAGGCTCCTGTTTCGGTCCTGTCCTTCAGCCGCCTGTCTGACTTACTGGATGTTGGCACAGAGTTTGGGAAGGGATTTCCACTGTCCTTGCACATACAGCAAGTGTGGCAAGTAGGCTGCCCTACGTGAGTTCTGCCTCAAGTTCAGCAAATTCATCCCCGAGCAACAGGGTTTTAAAACACCAATCAAAAAAAATCTCCAAACTTGGATGTGAAGTTTGATACAGGTTCATGGCTCTTATCCTCTTACCGTGCCAGACCAGGCAAGGGTGAGTTCAAATGCAGACAATGACAAAACAAAGGCTGTTGGAGTCAGCCTTCCTCCTCCTCCATGAGTTGGCAATCCCTTTGCCCTACCCAGGCTACTTGTTGATATTCACTTAATATTCTGGGGTGCTTAGGACAGTTATGCAATATTTTTAGGTCATGGCCTCCTCGGCCAACTGTGTCACACTGCCTGTGCAGGTAATCCAGAAAGGCTGACTTCGAGCTGGTCTCCATAGATTTTAGGCTTTTTCTATAGGCAACAGATATAAATGTCTCTCCAGAGCACTAGTTAAATTTGATTTCCAAAATATCCTCTGAACAAGATGTTTTGTCTCTCTCCTGTGGCTGAAGGGCAAACCCAGGGAGATTAGCCCTGCAAGGCTGTAGCCAGGCAGAGTACCAGCCCCTCCATCTCACTGTTTCCATGGCCAGAGCTTTAGACTTCCCTCTTCCAAATGGAAATATCATCTTCCCCCACATCTGTGTGTCAGTCTTTCAACACTCTCACACCCACTGTCCAAATAAGATAAGCATTCATCTTAGGAGTCTTTACCACCAATTATAAAAGCAACGAGCACTGACATTTTTTCCAGATTTTTCAAGTCACAAGAAGATTATCTACCACAAGGTCAGGCAAGAGGCAGCATTTATTCAGATACTGAGCAACATTATCAGAGGCCAAGTGAAGTATCGAAGTAGAATCTGAAATTTGCTGGGAAACATTGCCCTTGTATTGGCAGGCATTATGCTGAACACAGCTACTCAGTATGCACTCAAACACATTCCAATTGTTGCAGAAAATCACTCCCCGTGCAATAAAATGGTGGGGGGCCCAATGGAGAAATGCAAATCATCTGCTGTTCTCTGGCACAAATAGGACAGGATAAAAGTCTCTAATACCAGCATGGTTTGATTATCTAATTACCCTCCTTTTATTATAATGAAGAGAGATGTTAAGGGGTTGTTATGAAGACAGATTTTGGAACCATAACCCCCCAGTTGCTCCTGGGCCAACCTTAGGTGTGAAGGTAGAAGGGCAGGGCAGTGCTGCAGATGCAACATAGCCCTGCCTCTGGTTTACTGCAGTTGGAATAACAGTATGTTTTAGCCAACATTTAGTTTCCCAGAGCACTGGGTACTTGGAGAAAGTACTCAGTACTTTTTTCTACTCTGTGGGGGTAGGCAACAATAAAGGTCCATTTTTCTTAAATATTCCTGTATTTCACCTCACACACTTATGAATTTCCTTACAAAATAAGGCACAGCAGGGGCAGAAATGGCATAGAATACAACCCAAATATCCTACCCCAACTCGATTTCAGCCTTGAGGGAAATCACACAGAAAAATGAAACAATGGCATTTTCTGAAAACTTTTTCTGGATAGTAGAGAATAGGAGCAGATATTTTGAGAACAAGTCTGAATATAGAGCCTGACCATGAACACAACACATCAGACTGACCATGACCAATTTTTACCTTATTTGACTGTTTTAGCAAAAGAGAGCCCACGTAGGAACCCAGTGGCCTGTTCAGGAGAGCTGCAAGCAGATCACATTCAAAGAGTGCAGACTTGGCAGCACAGAGATGTCACCCACTGCATCAGCCTTTGAATTTACATCCTCTTCTGCAGTACAACCCTACACTTCCTCAAGGACCTACCAACACACATCACTCTTGCCCTCACGAAAGGAATTTCTCCTTTCTGAACAAGAGGGGAATTACATTCAGAGTGAGCACCTTTGTAAACAGCAACGGTGTTTCACAAATGAATCCTCTACAGTTCGGCAAAACAGGACACACTCAGCCACAGAGCACACCTGCTCCCTGCGTGGGATGTTTATGTATGTGTCATGTTTTTGTTCACAACAGTACTGTGGTAATGAGCCTGGGGCAGTTCAGGTGAATGTCAGCAACCAAGACTTCAATCAATCCAGAGACAGCAGTCATGGAAATGAGGGAACGGATCACCACATCATTCAGACGGTGGGACACTTTTCCTATTCCTAGTGGAGATCTTACGATAATTAGAGCAATTAGAGAGAAAAGCTTCTTGCAGAGTGAGTAAAACTAAATATATATATCTAATTTCAGAAAAGCACATTGTGAAAATGCTGCATACTAACTATTGTTGCCAAGACAAGTGTCTGTGTAAAGAGGAGACTCTTCCATGACTCTCTTCCAGATCTCAGTAACTGAACTTAGAAAATGTCAGGGTGATGATCCTGCAAAGGATAATGCTCAGCTGAAAAATGAGAACAGGAGGAGTAGTACACAGAGAAAGACTTGCTATTCATTATCCAAAGTCTGTATTAACGTGCCTTTTTCAAATTAGGCCTGCCAGATAGAAATTATTTGCTCTCATACAATATGAAAGAGAACAAAAAGCAGGCTCAAGGACAAATAGTCTCTGAAGGTACTTATAGTGTCAGTCTGCTGAAGTTATAGTATGCCATTGTTGTCTTTTAAACAGGCTAAAGTCTTTGTCAATCAGCTCTCCACAATCTGTGAGACTGTATGGACACTGGCCCTCCACCAGACTTTTCTACTGCTACTAGTAGTTGGGAGATGGCTTCTCCCCATTGGAGTCGAAATCACACGGGATCAATTGTCTCAGCTGCTTCTCATGTTTGTGGGAACAGCAGCAGATATACTTGAATTTGCCAGTGAAACCTTGGACATTGAGGATGTTCGGTAAGGACTTTTTGCTGATTTAAATAACTTGCATGGTGCAAGATGCTTGTGTAATGTGCAGTGTTCAGACTGGTGAACTGTATTTCCCATAGAAAACAGAAGGCTACATTCAAAGGCTCTGTTTTCCTACTCTCGCCTTTCCCTTTGTGAAAGGCTTAAGTCCTACAAGCTTTGTTAGTCCTACAAGCTCTTCTCTGTTGCCAGCAGAGAAAGCATGTCAGATCCATCACAAAAAAAGGTTCAAAGAGCCAAACAAGTAGCAGAACTGCCATGCAGCATCAGTTCTTTTGGCTACAGGAGCTGAAACACTGGATACATAGTAAGCCTCCGTCAGGTTAATGAATTGGTTTAAACTGGCAAGGAAGCAACTAGAGTTTGCTTTAGTGATTCATTATCCAAGTTGCTTCTTCGGTTATCTCACATGTGCTTTCTTCATGATAGAATGACAAAGTGTTCAAAGATAAGGAGAAAGGGAGTGACAGTCTGGTATGAATTTTCAACTGTTGTGACCTCTCCCAGAGAAAGTAAGCTCATCTCCCCCTCACAGTGCTGAGAGATGAGCTGTGAACATCCATCAAAAAGGAAAAGAGTCACAGAAGAGGTTCATCCTCCCAAAGAAATACTATTTTATTTTTATTAATATCAAAGCAACGTTTTTAGAGCAGGAAAAGAGGTCCCTCCCACTTGGGAGAGAAGCTTAAGGCTGCCAAGGAATGTAAGGAATGTAATCACTGCAAGGGTAAAGATATCTCTTCTTTGAGCCACAGAGTCTATTTCCATATGCTTATCATTATAATGTTAGCATCAGATATTTAGTGTAATTACACAGCTGCAACATGCAGCCTGAACAGCAAAAATTCCATACTAAGAGGTGCCTCTGTTTTCCTTAGTCTTTAATCTCAAGAGCATGCATTAATAAATCACTCTTTCACTCAACCACTCTAAATGACATTCCAAACACAACAGGAAACATTTTTGTTATCACATAAGGAAACCGCATCTTTATTGTTATCACTTTTTCCCCCCTCCCATAGGAAGAATTATGCTCTCATAAATGCAATTCTTGCTGTATGGACCTGGAGTATGCTACAGTTTCCACTTGATCTTGCAGGTTAGTACTTGCACGTAGACAAGAAAAGGGAAAAAAATGCTCTTAAGTTTTCGCTGGCACATCTTGTGGCTGTGCACACACTACAGGCTATACCGAGGACTTCTGGCAGAGAGCAATTTATATGACAACGACAGCTTTTGAAGAAAGCCCATTATGGTTTCTTTTAAGGAAACACTTGTTTCTGGGTAACCTCTGATCTCCCCAATAGAACTCTCTACTTTCAGAAAAAAAGAAGAAAAAGCATTGTAATATTGTATTGCTCCAGTTGCCTGTTGCTGCCTTAAACTTCACCACGTAAGCTTTCAAGTTAGATCTGGTCTACTATATTATGTCTCCAATGTGGGTAGGTTTCTAGACCCTGTGGAGAGGCAGGCAATTATTAACCACAGAGAACAGCACAGCCAAAAGCACTGGGGACATTATCCCGGGAGAAATTGCCTATTCACAGGAAACCTAAAGGACCATATGATGTTGGGACTGTACACCCTTACCTTAATCTAAAAGGCCCGATTATTCAGTCAGCTCAGGGTGGTGTTTGTCCCTGGGCAGAACAGGCTTTGCAATGACCAAGAAGAACAATGAAAGCTGTCCAAGTCCTCATCTGTTCCAACCATTTTGTTCTCCAGTCACTAAAAGTATGCAACACAGGTATAGTAGCCCAAAGATGCTTATCCTCACTAGCATCTTACACAAAATTGGTTACTAGGTTGACACTATGACTAAAATAATAAGTTAAAAATTCCTGACCATTTTTTATTATTATTTTATTCACTAGCCTTTGCTTCATGGACAGCACTAGGCTTTGTTTTCAACAGTAAAGTTATGAAAATATTTCAGCATTTCAGCTCAGCAGCTCGCCTCCTGAAAAATCTGATGCAATCACATTTCAGATTTATCACAGCCGAAATTCTTGTTATGGTAAAATACATTCTGTTACAGATGCACAGCACTCAGGTTTAAAAAAAACCTCAACCAACCAAAAAACATCCCATACACATCACCACCATCCAGATAAATTCAAACAGCACTTAATCTGTGCATTTTTTTCCCTCTGGCTGTTGCTTTTCTGCTTGTTTAATTACATTTACCAGTTAGAAATTAAGTTATTGAACACACTTTTCCCTGAAATTATTATGGGTACGGCTTATTTTAGGCACTTCTATACAGTTGCACAGATAGTACTTATTCAAGCATCAGTGTTTACTCATGCATCCAAGATGACGTAAAAGAAATTTTTAGGCACTTACGATTAGACTACAGCAATGCAGTTAGGACTATTAAACAGCAATAGCACAAAAACATACTAAAAAATTAGCTGCTGCTGAAGTCTTGCCTAATGGATTCAGCAAATTTCTACATTCTACAGCTCATTTTCCATTTGAGTCTCATCTGGTTTTCCCCCTCTCCAGCGATGACTCAAACAATAGAATTCTTTTAGCAAGCTGAAATGTTTGGTGGTTGTTACTGCATCACAAGTAGTGATGTTTTTTAAACAAATGAAATCTCACTGTCCAAGAGACAGGTTAGTTAGTTAAGCTACGTGCATTTTTGTAAGAGACAGCCAAAATGACCCCATACAAACCCTCCCAATGGTCCTTCTCTAGGCACCACAACACAGAGAGCATTTGAGCCCACCACCACCTTTATAGCCAAGGGGAACCCATGTACGCACGTTCCAGCAGTTGTGTGCAATTGATACCCAGAAAACTAAGTAACTGTGGCTCAAGTCTTGCATGGCAAGCAGAAACCACACAGTGCTCAATACTGCTCTGCACTAACAGGACTTACTCATTCTGTGACACATGAAAAAGGCAATGGTTATCTGGTGAATCTTTTAAAAGCAAGGTCTTAGACAGCCTGGAACAAGCTGAAGTGCAACAGCTCAGGCTGCTCCTATTCAGCACAGTAGTTTTTTTCTTAAAGATACATGAATGATGTATCAGCATGTTGATTTACCAAAGAAATGTCTGGGAAAGTTGTGAAGAAAGATTAGGTGATCTATTTCTGTTTCTTGCTTTAGAAGTGTATAAATACTGGTATCTTTGTGGGATAGAAAAAGGGAAGTGGTTTTTGGTCCTGTTTGCTGGACTACACAAGTGCCTCACGTGAGCTGAGTGTTTTGCCGAAACAAATCCCAGAAAATGGATATGCTGTATGTTGCACAGTTCACAGTTGAATGCATTTATAAACCGGGGTACCCTGTCTTATAAGTGCCCTTTAAACCAACCCCGGCTTTGCTTCACAAAGTTGTTTTAACATAACTGTTTTGCTTCTAGTACAGCATATTGGCTGCAAACCAAGTGCATCATCCAGGCGGATCCCCAGCCTGCTGCTGTGCAGGTACAGCGCGGAACTGTGGAACATCTGGGTCAGCCTTTTCATACAGGATGGGCCCTTCTTCATTGTGCGTTCAATCCTCATGGGCCACTTCAGAATATTCAATCAGATGCTGGTATTTTTTACAGCTAAGAATGTCTTGGTTGTGACTCTACAGTTGTATCGTTTGGCAGTGATAATGTTCGACTTCCGTGCCACCATCCTGCAGAAGAGCAGGAAAGGAGAGGTCTGTTGCTGCCCATGTGAGCCTTACGAGGCTCGTGCTCATGCTGCCAGTCACCACGACAACGAATTGAAAGAGCTGGTTGCTTTTCCTCCAAAAGAGGAATCCCAAGCTCCGTCAGAAGATCACTGAGCAGTCACTGAGTTGAAAGAAGTTGCATTTCCCACAGCTTCTTCAGAAGGGCTTTGCCTGTTTCTATGATCAAACACACCTTGAGTGCCTAAGTCACCTCTTCCACCATGAGAACATTAATTTCTTCTAAATTGTAGGGGAAATTTCTCAAGCAAATTCATAGGAGTGGGACTTCCTTTTTAATCCATTTATATGGTGGGTTTTGACTAGTTTCATATTATTATTATCCACAGGATTTTGTAGGCGTAGTTTGTAGTAGAAAGGTTGTACCAAGAAAGGCTGGGTGCACTAACAAAATTGGTTATTACCATTGGTGGCACTGTGCTAACCTATGTACTTGCATGTATTCAGATAGACAGACAAGCCTATCCATATGGGAAGTACAAAAGCATTTAGCTCTACTTGAATGGTTGGGCTCTAACTCCAGTGTGACGAACAATATCTTCACTGTGTATGGGAGCAACTTCAGCAGCAACAACTGTGCAAGTGAAGAGGGATGACAAATGTCTGCTGTTACTGTGACATCTGAACATTGTTCATTCCATAAATTTAAGAAAACCTTCTTCAGATGTTACCTCATCCTTGGCTGGATTCAGTTAAGAACTATGCAACACCATGAAACTGCATATGAAAGACACTTACAATCTGCATGGTCTGAATAACCTAAACCTTAAAAGAAAACCAAAAGCAGCCTTATGGATCATTAGGAGACAACTGCATTTGCTAGAGGCATTTTCTACAGAGTTGCTTGCCTTTCTATTTCTACCAGTTAGAACACACGCACAGTTAGAACACACGCACAAAACCTCACCAAAATATTTGTAAATACTTTTTTTCCCTCTTGATTTCACTGTTCTTACAGGTGAGACAAGTTTTTAAAATATCTCCATTTTATATGATTTTTTTAGAAGTGGCCAGACCCAGGCATACAGTCTCACTAGAAAGAAGATGGCACTGCTGCTCAAGTTTGACAAGACAATCTAAGCAAAAGGATTCAGGCACCCACTTCACATTTCATAAAGCACCACAAGGTCCCCTGAAATAACTTGAGAGATTGCCTGGTCTGGTGAGTGTCAAGACCCATTTTTAAGACATGGCTACTAACTATTAATTTACACTTTTCACATTTGGAATGAACTACATATGTCCCAATTTCTCCCAAGTGCACACTTGAGATCAGTGTAAGGCCATTGACTTTGCTGGACTTGGTTTATAGAGGCTAAAAGTAAGAGAAGTGATTTTTGAAAGTCCACCTAAAAATTAAATTCTCACACAGAATGACAGGTGGTTTTTCAAATTTCTACATCCATTCTGAAAGAGAGCAGAAAAGCATATAAAGTGACCTAATTAAGGTAATTTCCCTTATGAAAAATGCCCAATTAAACACTGTTTTCTAAAGCCTCAGCCACCTAAAGCCAGAATCTGTTTTCAGGAATGAATAAAAAGTGTTTCTGCCACCACTGCAGCAGTCATACACTTATTTATCTACAGCCTGAGAAGCAATGACATTTATTCTTTAAAGGTGAACCTATTTAAAAATTCCAAACCCCAAAGATGTGAGTATTTGTTTATGCTTGTGAGTTTTTCTTACTGTTCTATGCAGGATCAGACTCTTCCATTAGGAAAGAAGAAAATGCATAGCCATAAAGAAGGAAGTCTCATGTACTTCATAGCCCTTTCTACCATTCATACAATAGTAATAATGTGCAATACCTCCTCCTCTTCTTATTTTGGGCCTTTTTCCACCAGAAATTTAAAAAAGCCTATCATTATTTGCCATGGTATTGTGATGTAGACATATGGAGAGTGGAATGCAACTTCATTAAGGATTTTAATTCAAGTCTAGAGGTAAAATGTGACATTTCTGATGATGAGCTGTGCTGTCTAAAACCTTTCACACTGGGATGAATTTAGAATCAGTTGGTAGAACCACAACACAGCTCTTCCTTATGGATGCAAGCTGGGACTACTCATATTCATTTTGCGTTTACCACTTGCTGATATAGTAATTATCCTGTTAAAAGGATCACTGCTAATTAATTTGGAGTGTACTGAGCTTGCTAGAACATCATTCTAAATTCATCAGCACAAAAATTGCAGGATGTTCTTTTTTAAACTTGCTGTCTATTTAAAGGTTTAGTTCAGCAACAAACTGCCTACTAGGCTCAGCCTGCAGCAAATGCAAGATCCCCTGGGGTCAGCAGTACAGAGACTGGTTACAGCAGGAATATTTTACAGAGAACTCTATTTCCTGGTCTTCAGTCTGTTCAATTTTAAACAGCAGTAAAGCTTCTAATCAGATTTATGGTAAGAAGAACTCGCTCCAGTGTCAGGTGGTTACTACTAGATCCCATTCCCATTCACTCAGACAAAATCCTCCTTCCTGCTTACAATAGGATTTGGACTTTCCTTTTCCTCTCCAGTATTGCAGCAATGGCAATCAGATTGCTTAAAACCAAAAGAAAACCCAACCTGACAAAGCACTTCAGTGGTGGGTAGACTACTACCTCCCGACCTCTGTGCAGAGGGGAATCACACATGCCAGGGAGCAGCAGGAATGACATGCAATTCCCTCTACTTCACTGAGAAGCCTGGGAATGGCAATTATGAAGTCTAGTAGCTCGCATGTTTTGGGCCGAGCAGCAAACCCCAGCTGCAAGCCCTCCTCACCCTTGCAAATGTTCTGAGCAGGAGGATGCAGCAGTGGATTTTGCAGCTGGCTGTTTGAGAGCCACTGTGCCATCCCACTGTCTTCCAGAACTCTGCACTAGGCAAGTGGTAGAATGGGTTCCCTTGAAGATCTGCCAGCATCTGTGGTGCACCCAAGGATGTCACATTTGCTGTGCAGGAAAAGCTGCAGTAAACTTTCAGATGGGGAAAATTCAAGCCTTCAAAATGCAAGAATTTCAGAACATTTATCTTAACAATTATTCACTTTTGAGTCAGAAGAATTACATTACTAAATCTGTTCTGCAAATAGATATCTGGCCATTTACTGTTATTTATTCTGGTTGTTCCTGCCTTGTCCTTTTAGATTATTCCATATTAAACCTCACTAAAATGTTTTACTACTTGTTTTTCCTGAGCTAAAATGTATTCCTCCTTTCCTCTGGACATTGGCTCAAATAAGCTCATAGCCCTGAGCGGGAAAAACAACAAACAACAGCGATGATTTTATTGCATTCCTGTTGGTATTTGTACTGTACAATGTTCTCTGTGACCATGTGGAAATGGAAGAAAATGTGCAATTACTTTTAAAAAATTCCAACTGCACTTTGCAAATAAAAGGCAGTTACCTCAGGCATAGCTGCCAATTTATTATGTGAGAGCTGACTGTTATATGTTCCCGTTAATTATATCTTCCACATGCTGCTTTTCCTTTCCATGCTTCGTAAGTTAATTACTTAGGCCAGATTCTGACTGCAGCCACTGCTTCGAAAACCTACAGCAACTGCAGTTAATTCCATTCGCTTCTGGATACGTTGTTCTTTATGCAGAACCTTTGCCTCCAAGTATGCACAGTGCAATCCCACAGAGGATGTGTTTAATATCTGCATACAGGAGGCATTTTACACACACAAATATGTACATGCATTTAGATATCCACACACACCTGGCAACGCCCAATACATACAGTTTTTATTCCTGTTACGATCTGCAAGATTGCTCATAAGAACATTCTGCAGATGTCTCTAAAACACTTACAAAAATACCTAAATGTTACAAATGTCTTGAAACTCAGAGCTCTAAACAGTGATTTTTTTAAAAATTTGTTTTAAGTACCTTGGAATATATTGTTTCCAGGCAGATATCCTCAGTTGAATGAAATGTACGCAATTATTACTTTCCCCTCAAAAATAAAGATTTTTAGAAGAGCATCAGAACAGAACACCAGCATCTAAAACTGCATAAGGCTGTTTCTCTGGTTCTGTGTCAACAGAAAATAGGCAAGTCTTGAAATCAGCAGGTTGGAGAGTCCTTGGCCCTCTATCTGGGGATTCGGTTCTCCACTTTTTTCACACTGTTCTATGAGGAAGGACGTCTTTCCTTCCTTGTGAGAAGAAAGAAAACAGACTATTCCTAATCTGTAATGGTGAGGCAATAAAAATGGGTCACAGTGGCAGAAGTAGCAAAGATGTTTGCCCAAGATTGTTCATTGCACAAGCAGAGACATACAGCAGTACGGACCCCTAAGGGAACAGATACTCATGAATGAGAGAACCACATGTGAGCTGTGTTCTGTGTTCAAGGAAAACCTTCCCTGGCCCTTTAGTGCCAGCACAGGAAGAGTTCTTGACAGTCAGTTCTACTCCAGTGATCTCCAGCAAGCTGCTAGGACAGGAATTCCAGCTATCCCAAGTCTGTCTTGAAGGTGACCCTAAAATGCTCTGTGCAAACTTTCCCTAATTTGGTCAGGTCTTTTCCCTTAAGGGTGGATAAAGGGGTAGGAATAAAAGCAAAGTAACTGTAAAAAACTTCATTTGTCAACCCAAATCCTTACCTCATCCACTCATACTGCCCTTCTTTCCTCAACCACATTTCCGCCTGTTTTCTGGGCCCACCTTCCAGATCTCAGCACACAGATGCTAAAAGATCTCAGACAAAAGATGCTAAACACTGCACTTCCCACTGCTGCCTGTGAAAATCTTTACGAAAGCACACAAGAATTCAGGCCAAAGATAAAGAAGAGCCAAGCCTACCTCTTCCTGTTAAAGATGAAAGCTATCTACAGCTGCCAAAGAGTTTCCTCCATTTGTTTGTAGCCTACTAGAGGGAGAAGAATCTTTTCCTGGGCAGTCTGTCTGTGAAGGACTAGCTTATTGAAAAAACAGCATCATTTCCTGTAGCCCTATGGATTAATAATATCTCTTTCAAACTATCATGACGTCACACAAAGTTGGAAACAAGACTGTCCGGCTGTAGGTCAAGACAACAGAGTTGAAGGTTGGTACAACATAAAAGTGATGCCCTAACCCAGCATTTCTAACTCTGGGTGGTGGGAAAGGCCTCCAAGCCAAGTAAAGCAGGTCTGCATGAGTATTATCTGTAATAGTGGCTTGGAAGAGCTGAACTAAAAATTGCTCTAAAATCTTCAGTCTCCTATACTTCTAACTAATAAGTATCCTGAAATAATCATACAGAATGGGTATAATCAAAACTAACACCCTTGCCCCTCAAAAGACTCCAGAATAGTGTTAGAATAGATCTACAGTGTAAAAAACTGGTTGAGCGTTGCTGTTCCTTCATTTGATATTATTCTGAATAAACTGATGCTTCACATTTGAAGAATGTGTTGGGCTTAATTTTACCTGACATCCCGTCTAAGTGCTTCACAATTACAGTCTCCTGATAGAATTCACAAAAAAGCTTGTCTTACAACAAACTTGGTAGAGGCCTTGTTGGAGCATCTTTCAGGATTGCAAGAGACAATAGTATGCTCAGCAATGGCAGTCCATGAACCAAGACAGCTGTCAGACACTATAACTCACTGCAGCCCTAATCCTGCCTCAGTCAGCACTCACAGTGCCACTGCTGAAGATCAGCACTACACCTATAGTATTACAAGAGAAACATAAAAACAGGACTCATCTTCTCAGGCAACCAATCAGAACGTTCAAAAAGCACCTTCCAAAGATATTTATCACAACTGCCAAACTAGAATACTGTCTTTTACTCATTAGAGGTCAGCCCTGAAGTGGTTAGCCTTCCCCCTGAGTGAGGGAAGAGAACTCTTTCTTCTTTCCTTCTCCTTCCAGATTTCACATTGAGGTGAAATCTAGTTGTTCTAATCCCGTAACAAACCAATACAAGTTAATATTCTGCCTTATGAGCTGCATATCAAGTCTAACTTGAAATTTAAGTTTCATTGTGGCAGAAAAGAAAAGATTATTTTGTGGTCTAATCCAAGGAATACTAATTAATTAAAAAAAACCTCTTACATGCAGAAAAAGGAGAGAATGCATAAGTAAGATTTGCCACAGGGTAGCCTGAAGCCATATGCCAGCAAGTTACACTTCTTGTATATTATGAGAATTTTTATCTATCTAATCAATAAGAAATGAGTAGTTACTATGGCAATTTCTACACTACAAGGTATTTGTGCTGCAGTAGAGTATGTTCTAGAAGGACGAATACACTTGCCACTCTGTTATGTAAATTTTTGCACCTTTTACAGTGTTACAGTACAGTGTGTAGGCTTGAGAAAGGTGAGAAGGAAAAAACAAGTTAAAATATAGTGGTGGTTATAAAGGACAGCTTGGGAATTCTTAAGTGACACTAATAGATGCCAGGTGAGAACAATCCTCAAACATTCAAACAAATCAAGCAGCGATTTTGCAGATCTTTATTTGAAATCATATATAATGAAACTAAGATTTCAGTATTGCACATCATTTTGATTATCTTCCTCAAAGTTAAAACTAATGGGGCTAGAGAGTAGTCTCCTTTATACCACTATCAATTTATACTAATATTGGTTTCAAAGGATAGCAATGCACTGTAGTAACCAGGGCTGATTACAATGGATGTATTCCCTTCCAGCACAATATTCCATAACCCTGTAGGGCTTGCTGACACTTACACAAACAAGCATAAAACTTCACTCTCAAGATACAGAATACTACAATAAAAGTGCAGGGTTCTTTTAAAGGTTTTGAAAATAATTGATCACAATCATCTTTATGAAATACATGGAGAAAGTACATATGCCTCCCATAAAATATTTATCACAACTCCATCACGTTATGTTTTGAAGTTGTTTTTTTTCCCCTACATCTCTTCTCAAAATATTATAACTTTTCAGATATTAGAACAAATGGGAAGTGGCAAATGCCGAGGAGAAACCTAAACACTACAGAGGTGGGCAGTTCCCTTTGAGAGGTCTGACAGGGAGAGATGCCATGGCTGCACACAGAGACAAATTAAAGCTCACCACAACTGCTGAAGATGGACCGATGATTGT